AACCCATATGTCGATTTTTCCCTTTTTTGGACTGAGAAAAAATTTCGAGATTTCAGTCGTATCCTACGAAATTGGAGGCGTAGAATCGATTCCGCACGGTCTCGACTCTCGGCGAGGCTTCCTGAGCCGAGGAACAGTCAAAAAGTGGTCAAAAGCGAGCTTTTCTGACCACTTTTTGACTCTTTCTCTGGAGCGTTTTCAGCGGATAGCTCGAAGCGAAGGACTCGCGGAGCTTCGAGAAACAGGCAAAAACTGGTTAGAAAAGTGGTCTTGTTATTGATCAGTTTATGTCTGTTTCTCGGCTCAAGAAGCCTCGCCGAGAGTCGTGACCGTGCGAAATCGATTCTACGACTCCAACTACGTAGGATCCGACTGAAATCTCGACATTTTTTTCTCAGACCCAAATCGAGAAAAATCGACAGGGGTTACATGGACTAAATTTTTAGGGTCAAAATCAAAAGTTCGACAATCGCGTCCGAAACCAAGTAAGTTCGCTTGGAATTGACCCACTGAGTGCGATTTTCGAGTCGGAAAAGCTCCGCGAGTCCCTCCCTTCGAGATATCCGCTGAAAACACTCCAGAGAAAGAGTCAAAAAGCGGTCAGATAAGCTCGTTTTTGACCAGTTTTTGACCGTTTCTCGGCTCGACAGAATCAAAAGTTCGCCGATCGCGTCCGAAACCAAGTAAGTTCGCTTGGAATTGACCCACTGAGTGCGATTTTCGAGTCGGAAAAGCTCCGTTGGCCCGGTACAAATCATTCCACGACGAAATCCCTAAAATCCTCAAACAAGATACACCAGTAGCCTGACGTGACGTGGGGAAAAGGATTTTTTTAATCTTTCCAAAATTATTTGTTTTGTACCAAAGGAATACGCATGCAGAAAAGTATGATAATTCAAACTATATTCCAAGCTGTTTAGCGCCAGCCAGGAGAATGGTTACACCTGCCAGAGGCAGGATGGCGCATGAAACGTAGGAAAGAAATAAAAGATTGAAAATTTCAGTGAAATATTTCATAAAGTTTCAGGAGGCTGTAAAGTATTTCATATTTTTCAGTGGCTAGAATATGCAACCCAACCCGCACTTAACACACGAAAATAGAAGGAAGTCACAATTTTTACATTTTGCGAAACATGAAAAGGAACTGGTATTTTTGAATATCTTTCATCAATTTCTGAAATATCTACTGAAATTTCAAGGTTTTATTTTTCATGAAACGTTGCCACCCTGGCCAGAGGTATGGTTAAGTCAGCCATAATTGTGTTTAAATCAACCAGAGCTTTGACTGGCAGCAAAATCAACCAAGAATATGGTTGAAAACATCATACTTTTTATTGCGCATATCGACGGTGAAACTACCAAACCACGTATAACGGTTTGCGACGTCGCAGACTTCCTGTCATACATCATTTTTTAAATGAAAAACTACTTAACATCCAGTCTTGAAAATTTCTGTGATTTTTCTTCTTTGTGCGGAGACAATTCCGTGAAAATTTCAAGGAATGATATTGATTTGGTCTACTTCAAAAAAATAAAATGTGAGCGTAGATTTTTAAACACCGCAAACGAGATACGTGGTTTGGTAGTTTCACCGTCGATATGTCCTTTAAAACAGTGAAACGGAAGTAAGAAAGAATTACGAGGGCTGTCCCAAAAGAAACCGGACTTTGGTCATAGAAGGCGAAGCAAGCGTCGTAATGAAGTTTTCTTGGACTTGTTTGAAAGCTGATAAGCTACTGGAGAAGCTTGTTTTTACAGAATGCAAAAATTCGTCTTGGTAAGGAAACTACACGCTTTGGAATAAAGGAAAGTCAAACTCGAGTTGCGATTTTTGTCTTTATTTCAAGAAAAATTTGGATACAACTTAAAAAAAACCCAGGTTTTAAGTTCAAAACTTCGTTGCTCTCTTATTCAAATGCTTAAAAATAAGGAAATTAACATTTTAAGCAGCTTACCAAGTCATCAATTATCCCCTTCAAAATACTCGACAGCTTATTGTCGATGCATTTTTGCCACCGTCTCTTCAATTGCAAGAAACACTGTTGGAAATCCTCAGGTTTGAATAATCGCAATTCCTTTAAGGTGTTCTCTTGAATTTCCGGAATGGTTTGAAAACGTCGACCTTTCAAGGTAGATTTAAGTCGTGGAAATAAGAAAAAATCACACGGAGCCAGGTCAGGTGAATAAGGGGGATGAGGGAGGACACTCATGGCATTCTTTGCACAAAATTCGCGAATTTGGAGGGATGCGGATGCATGGGCAGGTGCATTATCGTGATGCAGAAACCAGGAATTGGCTCCGTGTGATTTTTTCTTATTTCCACGACTTAAATCTACCTTGAAAGGTCGACGTTTTCAAACCATTCCGGAAATTCAAGAGAGCACCTTGAAGGAATTGCGATCATTCAAACCTGAGGATTTCCAACAGTGTTTCTTGCAATTGAAGAGACGGTGGCAAAAATGCATCGACAATAAGCTGTCGAGTATTTTGAAGGGGATAATTGAAGACTTGGTAAGCTGCTTAAAATGTTAATTTCCTTATTTTTAAGCATTTGAATAACACTGAGAAAAAGCTATGGTTTATAAACCTATTAGTGGTAAATATGGAACACCTATAATAGTCGTAAATAAACTAATGATTCTCGGTCTGTGAACCATACTAAGGTCTCTGTACCTAATTAAGGTACAGAGACCATAACTAAGGTATATGTGCTATTATTATATGTAGAGGTACTACTATTAGTGGTGTTCCATATTTACCTCTAATAGGTTTATAAGCCATAGTTTTTTCTCAGTGAAGAGAGCAACGAAGTTTTGAACTTAAAACCTGGGTTTTTTTTAAGTTGTATCCAAATTTTTCTTGAAATAAAGACAAAAATCGCAACTCGAGTTTGACTTTCCTTTATTCCAAAGCGTGTAGTTTCCTTACCAAGACAAATTTTTGCATTCTGTAAAAACAAGCTTCTCCAGTAGCTTATCAGCTTTCAAACAAGCCCAAGAAAACTTCATTACGACGCTCGGTTCGCCTTCTATGACCAAAGTCCGGTTTCTTTTGGGACAGCCCTCGTAATACGGTGCAAAAGATTTGAGCAGATTTTGAAAAAATCCATACAATTATTACAATTAACACTGGACATGAAAGTATGCCGCAGTGATTCTACAAAAAATCGTAATGAATAATTTTCATACATTTTTTTGGATACTATACGAACGGTTCCTTTTGATCGCTTGTAAAGCAGATTGTGGTCAGTGAAATTGTATTAGATAACCCACAGATATTCTCTCATTCTGTTTTTCAAATACACGATATTTTGTGATCAAATGCTCTCAGGGAACCAATTTCTCAAATTTTAAAGCATTTTTTTGTAAATTGGACGTATTTCTACCAAACAGACCTATGTGCAAGTGAGAAATATGGGATGTGCTTGTTAGTTCTCTGGCCGTAAGAGTGAATGAGAATAATAAGCGCCAGTGACGTCAGCGCGGCAACGATGGAGACTCCGAGCCGAGGATCCGCGTCTTTAACTCATGAGCCCTGTGCACAAGGCTCTCTTGCCATGCCCGCGGCTCATGAGTTCCGCACTCAGTTGCACATAGGTCTGTTTGATAGAATGCAAAATCCCGCTTTTCCAATTCTTCAAAAGGAACCACGTCCACTTTTACATTGCTTCTTATGCAGCTTCCTGGAGCACATCCCATATTTCTCACCTCCACATAGGTCTGTTTGGTAGAAATACGTCCAATTGATACAAAATCAAATACTTTACGCAGAGCTTTAGTTGAATCATATCTTATTTATCACTACCATCATGACAGCTAATAAAAGCTCGAATTTTAAATAATATGGACTTTGTATAATGCTCGGAGGTAAAATTCATATGATCTCAGATCCTGTATGTCATATCCATGGCCAAAGTGCGAAACCGCGTATCTCCGCCGCGGTGTTTCAAAATTTTCGCTCATCCTGCTTTACTGTTTCAAATAGAAACAAGCCAACCCTGTAGCTTAAAATGTATGCAGTTTAATTTACTGAGAAGGACGAGGACGTCCTGTAAGAAATTGGCGGCAGGCAGAGGAGGTGGAGATCAGAAGGTGTTATTATTACCTGATTATCTGCGGGAGGATCGATTCTGATTGCGATTATGTATTAGAGCACTCTACTGCCGTGATAGCGAAGAGAGCCGTAAGTGCAAAATTTTCGAAATCGAGTTTTCTTCAAAATTCGTCTAAACTCTTTTAGATGAAATTTCTGACACAGCTAAAACAGTAAAATTCATCCTAATTTAATGAAAAAAAGACGTATGAGAAAGCCGTAAGTGCAAAAAAAATGACATAGTTTTTTTCCAACACAGCCGTAGGTGCACGAGAGCCAATGAAAACAGTGCTTTCCAGCAAAGTGCCGCCCTCTTCTGCCAATTTCTAACCTGAAAATGTGTTTGTTGTCCGTCCAAAACGCAACCACGAAAGCATGCAGTAGATAGCACTTACGGCTGTCTTGCCTAACAATAACCTAGCATGAAAATGAAAAATACCCTTTTTATGTAATGGAAATAAAATCAGTCGATTTTTAATCATCCATACGATTTCTAGGAATCTTCCGGACGATTAGTGGCAATTTGACAAAGAACGGAGGCTTCTTTCAATAAAATGTTCTTGTCAGAAGCTTCTGAGCTCGTTTTCTCAAAACTTCATTTTTGCACTTACGGCTCTCTTTGCTATCACGGCAGCTTGATATATACATAAAATCAAATAAGTTTTCAAGAAAATAAGCTGATTAGTTTCCCGATAAAAAGTAATGGATGAAAGAAATTTTGCAACGTCGCAAACAGAAGTACGTGGTTTGAGCCACTAGGTAATAGTAGGATAGGGCCAGCCAATCTGGACCGTGCAACTGTGATCAATGTAGTACTCACAATAGTTGCGAAAGGCAGCACATCTATGCTGATGACGCGAGGACCTCAGCTTGCAAACTTTGCAAATATTTGATCCTCTCGTTCCCAAGCGTGCTCGAGCGTGACTGACCGCTCGGCATTGTTGATGGTGAAGTTGCGGTGGTTATACTCCGATCTCCGATTCATTCTGCGATTTTCATAGTTTCATTATGGTTTTTTTACCAGGAGCAGGACATAGTGAGTACAGTAATTGGTCTTCAGTTTCATTGCATGATGAATACGCTACTTCAGTACCATTTTGATGTCTGATTTCATATACGCTACTCAATGGCTGCATCAGCCACAGTCTCCCAGTATAAATACTTTATTACACAGGGTATCCATGGGTTGAAACACGGCACTGCAATTACTTGATCCGTGGGTTAGAATGAGACTTGTTTCCTCTTTAAAGTTGTTTTTTTTCCAAAAGTGCCTTCAGTCAGAGCTTATGCTTCTCCATCAAACTTTTGAGAAAATCTTCGTTTTTTTCTTCAGAATTTTGGGATTGGTTATCGACTGAAATTCTTTAAAAACGAGTTCTAATTTTTTAACGTAAAATTGCCTAATAAAGATTGAAATTATAAGTTAAAGGGGGCTGTGAGGATACCTTGAATTTTGCAGGTCAAAAACACTTGGTCTCTACTCTTGGAACCTAGAAATCTTTCTTCAGTTTTACATTTCAATTTTTTGGAGACAATCGGTGATTTAAGCTTTCAAAATCGTCTAGAATACCCAATTTTCATGAATTTAGGTTCACATGTGACGCAAAATTATGAAAACCCCCATGGCGATTTGCCTACTGAATTGAGAAGCTGGAGCTGTGATGGGAGCAATTTTGAAAAACACGTAATATGCAGAAAAAAACGTCTTATTTTGACCCATGACCATGACCCATGACCCATAGAATCCACTCCTCCAATCTGACGGTTTAACTTTGCGATACTCTGTAGATGATTATATTAGCAGATAGGGATATAGGAATACATTATTTTTTTAGGTGATTTTAATAATTTGTGCATTCTGATTCCGGTAATCCACATTTCCATGGAGAAAACGAACCATCAGTTTATCTTGAACTTAAATTTCATCTTTAAAACTATCTTAAACTCTTTATGAATTTCCTTATCATTCATGAAAAGAAAATCCCAAAAAAAGTTAGGAATATTTTTTCCCCCTCATTTTTCCTCCTCATGCAGTATTAGAATAAGCTTCGCGATTAAGTCAAAACGATAGTGACTTACAAGAAAATAGCGATTTTCGGCAAAGGTATCCGCATCAGAGTTCGTTTAGAACTTACTCCAGAAGTATTATTGGACTTCAAAAATTCTCATCACGTCCAGAACCTTGTCAACATATTAGTATTAATATTTAATGGACTTAAATCAATGAAAAACTATGTAGGTAATTATCTTAGAATAATAATACTTGACCTTGGGCACTTAAGCGGACATTCGTCGTTACCCTCAGAAAGAACGTAACTACATTTCAATGTTGCCAAATTCCTTTCGCAAATTACGTTTATATTAGGAGAATCTTAAGCGTTCCTAACTGAAAATTTCCCAGATCTTTCATCTGATCTCATGCAAAAATCAGAAAAATTGGGACAAAAATTGTGTAGGTAAATTGTAAAAAAAATGTAGGTATTTGAGTCAACTTTGTAACCTTATAATGGACTTACGTTCATTTTTGTCAAAAATGACGAATTATCGCAAAAATAGAATTTTCGGAGAGGGTACAACGAATACCATTGAAAAATTCCCTTCAATTGCACATAATATAACGAGACATTCCTGGGAGTTTTAATTTAGCATTATCCTAAATACGTAAACTTTGACAAGCAAGTTTTTCAGAGTGTTACGGTGAATTGTTACAATTTTTTGATTTTTCAGATCCATGGACCTAAAATTGCGGCGGTTCGTGAAACTAATCGAAGTTCCTCTAGGATTTCTCCACAGAAGGAGAAATAATGGACAAGTATCCAGGAGGGATACCGGGCGTACAACTTAAAAATGAGTTTGTTTCAGAAGACCCTATGAAAGATGAAGGTGAACTCAGGGCAGGTATGGTTTGATTATTTTTACATATCATATAAAAATGGTGGGTGATAACAAATTTCTGAGGTCATATTCGGGTTTTCCAGCTCAAATTACATGAGAATCGATGTATCAAACGTGCGGAAAAATTTTCAAATTTCCCTGGAGGTGGGGACGGTTCGGAAAAGCTTTTTTCCCGGAAAAATCGGACTTTCCAGAAAACGGGGGGGTTGTCAGAGATGAATAGAGGTCAAATTTGGATTCAGCTGCTCTTAATATAGCAGAAGAGACCTAGAGAGGATCTCAGAAAACTTCTTAAACCCCTCACAACAGGAAAATCGTCCAAAAAACACCGAAAAAGGTAGTTTTCCAAGGAAAATCGATTTTTCGGGAAAATCGTGGGTGATCGGAAAAATCCAAGATCATATTCGGGTTCAGCGAGTCAAAATACATAAGAATCGATGTATCACACGCCGCGGACACGATTAAAATATATTTTTAATTCCCTTTGAGTCCGGGAAAGCTTATACACAAATTTAGGCTCGGAAAAATCGACTTTACCGGAAAATTGGGGGGTGATGGAAAAAAACCGAGGTCATATTCGAATTTAGCGGCTTTAAATACATAAGAATGACTATACCACGGGTCCAGAAAAATTTATACAAATAAATTGCATGCATGACAAATATACTTCAAATTTGCTTATTTTCCGGGGGAAAAGTCGCTTTTCCGGAAAACTGGAGGGTGATGGGAAAAAACAGAGGTTATTTTCGGACTCAGCGGCTCAAAATACATCGGATTAGCCGTTTCTCGTACCGGAGAAAAATTTTACCTACATTCTGCAGGGGGTAATAGTCGCAAAAACACCAAAAATGCCCGAAAATGGCCATTTTTCTGGGTAAAATCGACTTTTCCGGAAAACTGGAGGGTGATGGGAAAAAACGGAGGTCATATTCAGATTCAGCGCCTCAAAATACGTAAGGATCACCTTATCTCGTCCGGGAGACATTTTTTTCATTTTTTTTGTTGCACAGTGTAATCTGACCAAGTAATAGATTTTATTAAAACTATGGTCACTTGAATTATATTCTAGATCTGTGTCAAGATGCCCTCATTCACAACGGATCCGAACTTAATCAGCATCAGCCGATCACGCATCTGCAAAATGAAGATGTCAAATTATTCGCCAGGAGTTGGTGCAACATCGATGATCCATTAGTGCAAAAGCCATCACTCCTTCTGGAGAGACTTAATGCCAAGTTCATGGACACCCTAACGAGCCCTTTACCCGCTGAGCGCAAACACGTAACTTTGTCTTTGATAAAAAGCATAAAAGTAGAAGAGGGAGAGGACGATAAAAATCCACTTAGAGGTACCTCAAAAATTCTCACTTTTTTGTCATATTTTATCTGATGCTGTGTCTGCAACGGTTGTTTTAAGTCTTACGTTTTGTTTGCGCGACCCAGATCATTTTGACTGAGCAGTATAAAAGGTTGAAAAAAAAAGTTGTCTCCCAATTCAAATAGTTGGTGCGGTTGGAAATAAAGATGCGACCAATAGATCTCGAACCTCATTGTATGCTAGTGGGTTATGCCCCCTGGCCGCTATGCGGCCCAACTCCAAGGGGGCGCTTCGCGTTCTCTTATGCCCGCTTCGACAAAGTAACAACCCAACAAAAAAAAAAAAAAAAAAAAAAAAAAAAAAAAAAAAAAAAAAAAAAAAAAAAATGAAAAGATGTTCGTACTCGACTCCCATTAGTCCAATCTCCCTCTGGGCTGGAGCGACTGGGCCAATAAAAATCGAATAAAAAAATCGGCATTTATTTCAACCCTCACGCGAGGACTGAAAAGAAACGGAACGGAGCGTTTCATCGCTTTTGGATAGTCTGTAACAAAGGAGCATACCTTCGATTCACTTACCATACCCTACTAACGGACCAAGATTCAAAATTTCCCGCCTAGTTCAATTTTTCGCTAAATTTGAAATATCTGCCACCTTTCATTGGCGGGAATTTTCAATTGTACTCCCCTTTTAAGCTCCTTGGTTCACTATTATGTAAAGAAACCTGGGTCCTATTTCCAAAATCGAATTACAACCGGCTCATTTAGGGACTTTTGTCTTTCAATAGCCACAAAAATCATGGAAATCAGCTCAGCAGAACACTACGACAAAAAGTTAAAATTGACATTGTTTAAATGAGAGAATTTGCAACTTATTACCACGTCTCAAACAAAAACCTGGGCCATTTTTTAAAAATCTGAATAAGACGTTCTCATTTAAGACTTTGGGCCCGTTGGTAGCCGCAAAAATCATGAAAATCCGCCAGAACTAAGCGGTACTAGAACTGAAAATTTAGAAGGCTTGAGAGCTTATAGTATAAGATGGTTTCTAAATTCTAAAATGCACAGTGAAACAAAGAGGGATTATGGGTTTCGTTCAGTTTTTTCCTTCCTTTCTTTTGACCTCTTATGTTATCACTTGTATAGAATCAATTTATATTTTAAGGTATTAAATTTTTTAATGGCGGAGTTTTATACCTGTCCCTTACCGCTCAACATCGAATCAAATTCATTGATTATAGTGTCATGCGTTTGCTATAATTATAATATATTTCACCATTCAGGTGTAATATATTCACCATCCTCTGAAAACACATCCAAATCTTAACCGAAATTGAAACTTATAATGGAATAACAGCTTAATTATAGTGGTAATGGTGTATGGAACAATAATTCCGGTATATTCAATTTTTTTTCTTCTAAAGAGCGATCCAGAGCTCTTATGAATTTTCCTCTCATTTTTTCAGGATAGCATAATAGGGAAACAAATATCCAAAATATGTATTAGTACGCGACTTACAGCTCTTACTAATTGAGTCTCTCTCTCTTCAGTAACTAATATGCGAAAACGTCTTATTAATAATATCAAAGTGATAATTCATGTTTTATTTTATGTTTTTTGCATGTACTGTTTTTGGAACGTTTTTCAGAACATCCTAGTAAAATCGCTGTCCTCCATTTGATTCCAAAAAGGGAAATCGACATCGAATTTCCCAACGCGGCCATGAAAAAGGAGCTACCAGATTCAAAACCCGAAGTCAAGTTACACCATGAGCTTATTTTCGACAGCACTGGAGAATACTTTGACAGTAAGTACAGGATGCATCTTAGAATAAAAACCAGTTGCATCCGGAACGTGCTCGCAATATTATTCTTGTTTGAAGTGATTTTTTCTTCTCTTTTTTTTCCTAATTTGAAACGTACAGACGTTACGTTACATCAGATTGAAGGCGATTGTAACCATACATCGTCGCTTCATTTAATATAATAGGCCTCAGACCATCAAGAAACTTTTTATATAACATCAAATTAAGCCTCGTTTTTAACTCAAAACGCAGTCTTGACCTTTTAAAATTCGGAAACGCAATCCCTGCCAAAATTTCTTTCAGAAGCTCTTACTTTCGAAACAATTAACCTTGGATCTTGCAAGAGCTCTATGGGTCCAAAGGGACTACTTTTCGGTAGTTAGAAAGTATCTTTTCTAGCTCAGCTACATAAGCTTATTCGTGTTTCATACGCTACCGCTAAAATGAACCAGGAATATCAGTTTCCTAATACAAAATGTAGTCTAAATGGTTCTCTTCGGGAATTTTCTACTGTCGCACATTGGAAAAAGCTGATAGAGGTGGTAAGATATGCAATTTTTTGCTAAAATTTCAAATTTTGATTTTGATTTTGTCACAAATTCAACTTTAAGGGATGTTCCTTATCTGAAACTTTACGAGATAACCAATGAGACCACTCTCAAACTTTTTTGTTTCATATTTTCGAAGATTTAAGCTTTCAAAGTTTTCAAAGGACTACGTGCAAAACGGGCCATTTGGGGCTCGGGGCGGATACTTTTGAGACTTGCCCTATTCATTCACCTAATAATGCCCCATCTTTTCCCAAAGTTTCAAGCCCCCCAAAAATTTTAAGGAGACGCGGCGGGGGGTCAAAGTTAAAAACCGGCAAAATTTTCGCGAATTTATTACTCGAAAATCAAGAAGTTTTGGGAAATGCGGTTTAAACGAGCGTATTCAGCGTGACAAGAGCTTTCAGAAAATGTATAACATCATAGGGTTTTGTCAACTTCAGCTCGAGTTAGCGCCTCCGAAGCGCCGGAACGCTCAAAAAAGACCCCTTATTTTTTCACGTTTGGGCCGATTTAAAAAAAAGCCATTTTTTTATTTTCGTGAAAAACTGATATATTGCTCCTGACTCTCTGTAGCCCCACTAGCTCTTTACCGCATGCTGGGGAAATGTTTCGGTCGCGAGTTATATGAGCGGAAAGGAGCGAAGGTCGGGAAAATTGGCTATTTTAAACTGCGCGCGCGGCGTTGATCGGAGGGAAAACGTTCCCTCCCACTCAGTTCGGCGAATCACACTCCTCTGCCGACCTCGCATTGTTGCCACATGTCTCCTAATCCGTCACCGCGCGCAGTTTAAAATAGCCGATTTTCCCGACCTTCGCTCCTTTCCGCTCTTATAACTCGCGACCAAAACATTTCCCCAGCATGCGGTAAAGAGCTAGAGGGGCTACAGAGAGTCAGGAACAATATATCAGTTTTTCATGAAAATAAAAAAATGGCTTTTTTTTAAATCGGCCCAAACGTGAAAAAATAAGGGGTCTTTTTTGAGCGTTCCGGCGCTTCGGAGGCGCTAACTCGAGCTGAAGTTGACAAAACCCTATGATGTTATACATTTTCTGAAAGCTCTTGTCACGCTGAATACGCTCGTTTAAACCGCATTTCCCAAAACTTCTTGATTTTCGAGTAATAAATTCGCGAAAATTTTGCCGGTTTTTAACTTTGACCCCCCGCCGCGTCTCCCCAAAATTTTTGGGGGGCTTGAAACTTTGGAAAAAGATGGGGCATTGTTAGGTGAATGAATAGGGCAAGTCTCAAAAGTATCCGCCCCGAGCCCCAAATGGCCCGTTTTGCACGTAGTCCTTTTGTCCGACTTCTCCTATTGACTGAATCCACCGTGTGACGTACTGAGGATGACACTTATTACGATAAGGAAATTATTAATGTCACCAAACCAGGTTTAAGTGATTATAATAAACATTTCCCCACCGTGACGAAATTTCTTTAGGTGTTACACCAAAAAACCATTTTATCGCGAAAAGTTCGTATCTTTAATGGAGGATTTGCAGGTATCTAAAGTGTGACGAATTTTCATGTTTAAAAGGAAACTACTGAGTGGACTAAACTGAACGCGGAAATACCCTTGGTTCATATATTGAACAATAATTGGAAGAGATATGACAAAATTATCTAATCTGGTGAAATGCATGTGTTTAAGTAGGAGATGCTGGCAGATGACGTCTTTAGGTGGTACATTTTCTCATTTTTTAAATCTATTGTGATCATAGCAGAAAAAAATTAAAGAAAATACTGCGGAATTCGCTCTGCAAGAACTCTCACATGAAGCAATAAAAAATGTGTGTGCGAATCCTCCATTGTAATAAAATTGCTTTTATAGCATGTATACGGGCCGCAAGTTTAGATAATTGAAACAAACTCTTTTTTAAAAAATATCAATGCTTGAACCATATCGAGGGTTAAACTACTAGACCACTTATCTTGTTTGCGGTGTTTAAAAATCTCCGCTCCTATTTTATTTTTTTGAAGGAGAACCAACACATATAATTTTTTTAAAATTTTCACAGAGTTTTTTGGACAGAGAAGAAAAAACAGGGAAGTATTCAAGAATTAACTTTGAGTTGTTTTTCACTTAAAAAATAAAGTATGGCAGAAAGTCTACAGCGTCGCAAACCGAGATACGTGATCTGCTACTTTCACCGTCGATATTTTATAAATTAATGTTTCCGATACCTCTGTTGCAGATGGTCATCAAGGAATCAGCACACAGAGCTCAAACAGTTTGAAAAATCCAATTGTTGTCCTCGAAAAACTTGATCCAGAGTTGGTTCGCAGCCATTTGAAAGCAATAGAAAATTCTCCCAGTCCGAGCTATTCAGTTCCACCGTTTGAGTTGAGAATAGAGGTAAGATCAGGCGCCACATTGCAATTAAAGCTTGTGTGTGGGGTTCTTAAGTAATTAAACATAGCCTATTTTCGTGAACGGGGTGTGAAACAATAAAAAAGTGAGTGAGCCTCACTTACTCACTCACTCCTCAGCATAGGATGAACCAGTGAATTTTTCAATTTTATGACAGCAAGGGACGCATATTATTGGAATTTTCGGGTCCACGAGTTGCTCTGGAGCTCTTTACTGTGAATTTTTCCCCCTTCATAATTCCGTTTGTAAATCTTGATCAAATCAGTGCAATCTCTTCCTATCATTTTCCTCTTCCTTCCCATTTTCCCAATTTGTTTTGCCTCCTTTCATTGTCCTCCTAATGCTCATGATCTCACCCATTTTCTAAAAATCGATCAAATTTTCTGGCGCATCATTCATACACCCTCACTCAACGACAAAAGAACAACCCGGGAAAACCTCAGATATTTTTCAAAAAATTCTCACCGGAGCCAAAAATATAATTATAGGCTGTGCGCTCAATTTTTTCATTGTTTTATGGAAAGCAACTCGATTTATCTCAGAGAGCTACAAAAGAAGATGTGAGTAAAAATTTAGCTTGAAGTTTTCTCAATTTACTCGAAATGTGATCCCAGTGTATGTGCTTGTCCGGCCGTTCCGATTTCAAAAAATTGAGCTGCGATCGCCTCAAATTTTTCTTTGCTTCGCGAATGAATGCGTTTTGGGAGGGAGGAGGGCGAACTCTCAGTTGCAAGTCTTGGTCATTAAAAGCAATGGCTGACGGCTAGAAGATACACGAATAAGTCGAAGATTAAGTCGAAAATTAACTAACCCGGCCATCACTAATAATAACTGAACTAAATAAAATATGTAAGGAAATTGAAAACGCGATGGAATGTCCTAACAATGCCTTAGACTTATTTATACGCATAAGTAGGATAACATTGACTCATACGTAAATACTTTGATTTTGATACTTTTTAAAGTAATGTCTACGTTATTTCTATGTTTGTGTAGGAAATATAACCTTTTTTTTAAAAAAAAAAATTCTATCTCCTTATTAACACTTTGGCGCTTTTAAACCCGCCCCCCCTACCCTCTACCCTTCCAGGACTTTATGTCCACCTACCTTTCGTCCATTAAATAAATGTTCACCGCTATATAAGTCCATCAAACGTTAAGTCCAGTCTTTATTAAGTCCACATGATTTAATGTCCAACCATGAATATGTCCAAAATTGTCCACATTTTGGACATGTTATGTCCACATTTTTTTCTTATCATTTAAATGACAGGAACCACCTCAAAAATAAATGCATACTACTGCTACCTTCATTCTTAAAAACATTTCATTCATGAATCAAGTCATGAAAGAGAACAGACTCCAAGAGCGGATAAAAACATATGTTCATGTGTACAGTGTACGGATATGATAAGATGAAAACCAACGCGGGAGCCTAGGAAATACTCCAATGCCAAATTAAACATTTTTCAGTAACAGATGCAGTCAAAATTGAAAGTCCTCTTTGACTAGTTATTTCGTGCGCCTTCAATCTTGTAGGATACTGTGCAACGCCTCTGACGCGAAATAGTTGCTTAAAGCTTTGCGGCGCGGCAAACAACCAGCGGGACACGCGCACAGACGCCTACAAACCTAACGGGATACTTCACGCGTTGCGCAATGCGTGAAGTATCCCGTTAGGTTTGTAGGCGCCAGTGCGCGTTCTGCGCTGCTAACACGCCGCTCCGCTCTGTATTAGGCTCTAATATTTAAATTCGCGGAGTCAGCGTTTTTCAACTCATGGTTGTGAATTGTTTGCACTCTCTGCATTGATTATTCCCTTTTAAACTGATGAAAAAGAAATATGTACTACTGGAAAATATAATGTGTTTTTTGTAAATATAATAGTGGTTCCGTGTCAAATTTAATGATTTCAAAAGCACTCAAATTTATTCTTTTATGTGTTGGGCTTGTACTGTGCTGCAGCGTGGTGTAAACGCAACTAAACGCTCAAAATTGGACGTATTTGACTCAAGAAGGTCGATGTACAAATAAGTTAAAAACAAAAAATTGCGTGCTTCTTAGTTTTTTTCCTCTTTTATTAATTTTTGTATAGTTTCTTTCATCGCAACTGCGGCTCATTGAGATTCATATCGATGCCATTGCTTGGAAAAGGTTTTCCAAATATTTACCACGTTTTAAAAATGTAAATGTTTTTAAAATGAAGTAATCAATTTCATTAAAAAAAAGAATGTACCTTTAAGGCATATTTTATATCGGAAATTTCAAGTCCTCTTGACGCATCAACAAATGGCATCCCAATTAACTCATCAACAGGTCTCCAGATGATGTTGGATGCCTCTATAACGTCTCCAATGGGTGTCCCGATGACGTTATCAACTGATTTAGCCATGACGTCATCGAGGGTGTTCTAACGACATCATGAGCCAAACAAAGCCAAGAACAACCTTAAATAGCGTGCAACAGCCAGAAATAGCGTAAAATAGCCGGAATATGCCATAAACACTCGGAAATAGCCGTAAGTGGTCGAGCATAGCCGAATGGAATCCAGCAGTAACAGATGGTTGACACCGTTGCAGGAGGGGGGGGGGGGGGGGTGAGGGGTCGAAGGGAATGACCATCTCTAAATAATAGACTACTCAAGATTGAGAGAGATGATACTAATGTTTTCCTCCTGTTATTTCCTGCAGCAACCGCATGACATGTTTGTAATAGTCCCTAGTTATTCTGTTACAGGAGACTTCAGATTTGGATCATCTTTCTATTCACGATCAAAGCATAGAAAATCACGGAGCAAGCGATATGTCGATGAACGATCCAAAATTGTCGCAAACGGAACGTCGAAAATCGTCCAATGGGAGGGTCATAAGGAATTTCGCTCCGACCAAGAATGAAACACTGCTTCGTCACTTTCATTTGAAGAAGCATTTTTTGCAAGTGCACAGAGAACACCGTGCTTTCTCGTGTGCTCATTGCTCAAGCAAATTCAAACTGAAAAGTAGTTTGAAGGAGCATGTATTGCAAGTGCACAGTGAGCGTCGTCCTTTCTCATGTGCTCAGTGCTCAAGCAAATTCAAAGGGAAAAGTTCTTTGAAGAATCATTTTTTGCAAGTGCACAGTGAGCACCGTCCTTTCTCGTGTGCTGATTGCTCAAGAAAATTCAAATTTAAAGGCGATTTGAAGAAGCATATGTTGCAAGTGCACAGTGAGCATCGTCCTTTCTCGTGTGCTCAGTGCTCAAGCAAATTCAAATTGAAAAAATGTTTGAGGAAGCATGTGTTGCAAGTGCACAGTGAGCATCGTCCTTTCTCATGTGCTCAGTGCTCAAGCAAATTCAAAGGGAAAAGTTCTTTGAGAAAGCATTTTTTGCAAGTGCACAGTGAGCACCGTCCTTTCTCGTGCGCTCAGTGCTCAAACAAATTCAAATTGAAAAGTAGTTTGAAGAAGCATGCGTTGCAAGTGCACAGTGACCATCGTCCTTTCTCGTGTACTCAGTGCTCAAGTAAATTCCAATTAAACAGCTATTTGAAGCAGCATGTGTTGCACGTGCACGGTGAGTATCGTTTCTCGTGTACTCAGTGCTCAAGCAAATCCAGATTTAAAAGCCATTTGAAGCAGCATATGTTGCAAGTGCACAGTGAGCATCGTCCTTTCTCGTGTGCTCAGTGCTCGAGCAAATTCAAATTTAAAGGCGATTTGAAGAAGCATATGTTGCAAGTGCACAGTGAGCACCGTCCTCTCTCGTGCGCTCAGTGCTCAAACAAATTCAAATTGAAAAGTAGTTTGAAGAGGCATATGTTGCAAGTGCACAGCGAGCACCTTCCTCTCTCGTGCGCTCAGTGCTCAAACAAATTCAAATTGAAAAGTAGTTTGAAGAGACATATGTTGCAAGTGCACAGCGAGCACCGTGCTTTCTCGTGTGCTCATTGCTCAAGCAAATTCAAAGGGAAAATTTCTTTGAGGAAGCATGTGTTGCAAGTGCACAGTGAGCATCGTCCTTTCTCGTGTACTTAGTGCTCAAGTAAATTCCAATTAAACAGCTATTTGAAGCAGCATGTGTTGCACGTGCACGGTGAGCACCGTGCTTTCTCGTGTGCTCATTGCTCAAGCAAATTCAAAGGGAAAAGTTCTTTGAGGAAGCATTTTTTGCAAGTGCACAGTGAGCACCGTCCTTTCTCGTGCGCTCAGTGCTCAAGCAAATTCAAAATGAAAAGTAGTTTGAAGATTCATTTTTTGCAAGTGCACAGTGAGCATCATCCTTTCTCGTGTACTCAGTGTTCAAGTAAATTTAAATTTAAAGGCGATTTGAAGAAGCATATGTTGCAAGTGCACAGTGAGCATCGTCCTTTCTCATGTGCTCAGTGCACGAGCAAATTCAGATTGAAGAGCTGTTTGAAAAAGCATATCGACGGTGAAACTACCAAACCACGTATCTCGTTTGCGGTGTCTAAAAATCTACGCTCACATTTTATTTTTTTGAAGTAGACCAAATCAATATCATTCCTTGAAATTTTCACAGAATTTTCTTCGCACAAAGAGGAAAAATCACAGAAATTTTCAAGACTGGGCGTTAAGTAGTTTTTCATTTAAAAAATAAAGTATGACAGGAAGTCTGCGACGTCGCAAACCGAGATACGTGGTTTGGTAGTTTCACCGTCGATATGTTGCAAGTGCACATACGCTCTACGCAACGCTAGCATATGGTTGTGTCCGTATAAGCAGAGCGGCGTTGATATAGGAAGTTGTTATTAAGGACAGGAATACATTTTTTTTTTGGCTTTTCATGACAAACGGGGTAATATTAGCCATGTTTGTTATGTTAGTCAATATCACTTAAAATTAGGAAAATAAATCACTAATGTATTTTTAAAATTAAGCATTTGCCTGCTCTCATGAAAAATTGTATCATCATTTTTTCCTAACCTGCATCTCTCCATTATCCGACGCATCTGTTTCTATGGCTGCTTTCACAAACAGCTTGCAAACCTGCACCCAAAAATCCAATGACAACTCAGTCAATGCCTAATCTCACATTTGGGCATTTGCCTACTTTCGGACTTATTTGTCTGCTGGACAATACTGATATTTGGCCTTTTCAGATTTTTGGGCATTCAGGGTTTGGACATTTGGAATTTTGGACATTTTGACCTATCACCGTGGGCACCGTCCTTTTTCATGTACTCAGTGCTGTAGCAAATTCAAATGGGAAAGCAATTTTAAGAGGCATATGTTGCAAGTGCACAGTGAGTATCGCCCTTTCTCTTGTATTCAGTGCTCAATCAAATTCAAATTAAAAAGAAAATTGATGCTGCATGTGCTGCAAGTGCACAGTTAGCATCGCCCATTCTCTTGTAGTCAGTGCGCAAGCAAATTCAAAATGAATGAAAAAAAAACAACACAGGAATTTAAGGAAAGAAATGAGCACTCATAAAAAAACATGCATTGAAATCGTGAAGGAGCATGAATCAACGAGATATAGTCAACGATATAATCAATACGTATATAGGTGATAAAAATAAATAAAACTTGTAAAAAAGCCTTGCGACTCGTATAAAACGCAAGACGTCGTCGTGAGAACCGAATTCGGGACCGCCGAATCGGCAGGCGAGCGCTCTACCACTCGGTTACAGAGCAGATGTAGGAGTAGACTCGGCCAATGGACCACTAGACAAGGTACGAATTTCAGCATTCTGATACATGTTTTGTAACTAAAATTTCACGTAGAACACAATGCGCACATAGAAAATTACCGGAATTAACTCCTAACGAAGATATTAACGTTTTTATTTCACATTGGTTACGAGGAATTTGAACTGCCCGCTCACAAGAAACTCAAAACTCAAAGATGTACGATGTACGAGGGCGATTTGACGTGAGTCAAATCGCCCACTACAACGGTTTCAGCAAGCTTCTCAATCGAGCAATGTTCATTTCCCATCATGTGTTGTTCAAACTATAAGCAATTTGCTATAACTGAGCCAAAGCGTCAAGATTGAGGTTGCCAGATTTTTATATCGCAGAGACTGTCATGATAACGTTTAGCGCGCGATGTGAATCTCGCAGACCATTGAGTTTTCATGAGCGGGTGGTTTGAATTCACGCATTAAGAATCATTAAATATCTTCGTAAGGAGTTAATTTTGGTAATTTTCGTTGTGTGCATCATGTTTTACGTAAAATTTTGGTTAAGAAACATGTATCAGAATGCTGAAATTCGTACCTTATCAAGTAGTCCATTCGGTAGATATAGGTACATCTTGACCGGCGCTCTTAGGGAAAGCGCTCTGTCCAGCTTGCCGGCGCTCAGTTGACTCGCCGGCACACCGCGCGGAAACGTGCAAAAATCATAACTAAAAAAAATCGATATCTCGAGAACGGTTGGGAGGTGGCGGCTAAAATAAATACGCCAACCTTAGATTTGTCTCTTCTACATGTACAAGCAAAATGAACCCAATCCCAGGATGTCACATCGTAGGCTCCCCGTTGCCTTCAAAATAGGACCTTGCAAATCTTTTCGGGTCAAAAATTGACTGGTTGATGTTGTTTCGAAAAAGACACGAACAGCGTACTCCTTCAGAATTTTCGGCGATTTTTTTTTTGGAGGAGGAAAAAAGAATTTTATGATTAGAGAAATACATTATGTATTGAAAACAGTTACGGAATCAAACTTGGGCCTAATATACTTAGGTTAGTTTTTTATTCGTATGAATGAGTTGTTTGATCTTTTTCAAATAATGCTGAACCCTGGCATGATATTGCAAATTTATATTCGAGTTTTCTTTTTTTGAAAAAGTGATTACCAAAATTTTGAAATTTTGAAAAAAAAATTGGCACTATATGTCTTTACAAACGCTGCATGAAAGGTTTGTGTGCCCTAGAATGTAAAATGTAAAATTAACCCCGTGGTTAAATAGCTAAAGGATTAAGGTTAAAATCGTATTTAAATTTCTGTATTTGTATAGGTACCTTTTCTAATGAAAAATTATTCATTTTATTTAGTTATTATTTCTGAGAGTAATTTATCTTGTTTTACTCGAAGTCCTTATTTTCCAAAATTGTAATTACTTAACGGAGCCCTGATTCCGCTTTGGCAGGATGTAGCAAATTTTTATCAGTTTTTTTTTTTTTTTTTTTTTTTTTTTTTTTTTTTTTTTTTTGGAAAACAAGATTACCAAAATTTCGAAATTTTGAAAAAAATTGAGACTAAGTGTTCCCACAAAAGCTGCATCATAGGTTTGTGTTCTCTAGAATGCAAGATCTCAAATTAACTCACACCATGGAGGATTATAAAGACGTACCTTTGTCTACCGGTCCATTGGCTTTACCTAAATTTGTCCCATTCCGCACTTGCCGGTTAAGGCAAACTGTGGTAGGTTTTGACCCTGAACAGACAAATGAGGGACGCAAAAAAAACACCAGATAGCAACAATGGAGAAATTGCATGCAAATTTTTTATTGCTCCATCTGAAAGTGTTTAAAGAGCCGATTTTACAGTATTTTTTGTAATTTTTTTCTAATACGGGAAATGGTACAAAAATATATTTAAAAGTGAGAAAATGCACCGCCTTGTGACGTCGTCTGGCGGCATTTCCCATTTAAACACACGTATTTTAGCAGATTAGATCATTTTGTCATATCTTCTCCAAAAATCATTCAATTCATGAACCAAGGGTATCCTCGTGTTCAGTTCACTCAGTAGTTTCCACTTAAACACGAAATTCATCAAATTTCAGACACTCGTAAATTCTCTATTGGCCTTCTTGTCTTGTGTCTCCGTTGCAAACCATTTTTTCCATGTGTCATATATATCTATCGCACAATGACGATCTACATATTTCTTGTAAACGGGGTACTTGTTTTAAATTAAAAAGGCATGTAATTCAAGTAAATACTACTTAGTATGAAAATAGTCCCTTCTATGGTACCTACTTGAGTTTTGATTTGAGGGTTGCGTCAGAAGATTATCACTGTTACATGGAGCACTTACATATATAATAGATTATCCGGACCATCCTTTTGCAATGTTCGGTACTCAGAGTAATAACTACTAGCACTAGTTGAGGTACCATACAGTGGCGTGGCGTGAACGATCGATTATCGATATTTATCCATTTGAAGCTATGGTAAAGAATCGATTATTAAGGTGTTTGCTGCGAACACCCTGTTTATCGATCCTTTTCCAAAGGTTTAAATGGCAGATCAATCGATACATCGCAAAGCACGCCACGCCACTGGTACCATATCGATCGCTTAAGTGCGGAACCGCGTTCCTTCACTGCGGTATTTCAAAGTATCTGCTCCTATTTTATTTTTTCGAGGAGAAACAAGCCTTCATATCTTAAATTTTTTACAGAATATTCTGCTAATGGGTGGTTTCACGACAACAGGAATAGTTTTTTTGCCGTAACATACAACACATTTTTGGGTCATATTTTTAGTAGAAATTTTAGTTTTGAAGTATAACCAAGGTGATGTAATGATCGTTGATGTGCCTTGATGTGCGCTATTAAGTTTAGGACGAAAGTGTAATAACTGTGATATATTTATGTATTAATGACTGTACTCTGAAGATGGCGAAATGCTGAAAGGTCCTAAGTAAATTAATAAAAAACGATCATTACATCACCTTGGTTATACTTCAAAACTAAAATTAAAATGGTGTTGTTCGACTCAAACTTTATTAATTTAGTAGAAATGATAATCACTCAAATTTTTTCGCATTAACCTTCAAAGGGTTATTTATTTTAACGCTTTCTAATGATTTATTGTCTACTTCTCAATTAATATTATGTAAATTCCGAAAATGTGCTGTCTGTTACGCGGTAAAAAGTCAGCGTTACAGACAGCATATTTTCGGCCATCTTAATATTTAATTTGAAAAATAGAATGAAATTGTGAATCAACCACTGTACTAATTGCGAGGGGCGTTGGTTCATTTGAAAGGTGTTGTTCTCAATGCTTCGGGAAAACTATAAATTATTTTCTGGGGTTCGTCCCCGATTTTTAAATCCCTAAAAACTCATAAATTGGATGAGGGGAAGTGGGGGTT